TTAAAATATAAATGCGTGGTATAAAGTTAAAATAAAAGCTTAATGATATTATAAAAGGATACTTATTTATACATATCCTAAATGTCACATGTCACGTTATTATTAAGGTTATAAATATTAACAGTCTTCTTTCTATAAACAGTTTTAAAGTAAAGAATTTCACATAGTCTTGTAAAAGTTTGATATGTACATTTCAGATAATTCCATTATCATAAGAAGTCACTGTCACAATCACAATTGATTATACATGCGATTTCATCGGTGTTCATTATGTGACAGCACAAACGACGACTTACATATTTCTTCTTGTAAGTCGAATGAAATCTAAAAAGTATCGGTATAGTAGATATTTTCTATTAAGAAAACTTGAAATATTAGTGCAAAATAATATTTTTATATGATGTATATTTTTTAATAATATTTTTAATAATATTTTGGAGTTGAAAGATATTCAATAATATTACTGAAAAAAATTAAGTTAATAAATTTACACTTACACTTTATAAATGATCTATAGGATTATACTGTTTTATCGATGAAAATAACTATTTCATAAAAAAAGTATAAAATAAAAGTAGAAAAAAAGATGTGCTATTTTTTTTCAATATTCGTTCACATATATATGTATATATATGTAAATTAAAAATTATCTTTTTCATTTTATGTTCTCTCTTATTTATAGAGCATTAATTTGTTTATTTGTAAATCAAGATAACCAAAATCAATTTATCAATTATATTTATCAATTATATTATTTTTTCATTAAAAAATAATCTGTCACAACCATCGTGATTATTAATAAGATATTTATCTTTCTCAATATTATTTGTCAATATCGATAAATAACTCATATAAATTATTCATTCACATCTTTTTCTTTTTTTCTTATTGTAAGCAATATGCAAAGTATAAATAAACTATATAAGATAAATTCACACTTCAAATAGTTGAATTTCAAACATCGTGGCATTTTTCCTTGAATATTATCAAGTAATTTCTAGCATATAAGTCATATCATTTCTTAAGAATTGTAAAAATCTACATTATGTATGACTACGTATTATTACTGATATCTTATCAATGATTCTTTGTCATTGATATTTATCAGTATATTCGTACGTGTTAATATACAAAAAAATATTTATATAAAATTTATTAAATATTATTTATAATTTAGAAAATGCTATGAAAAAAGACTATTTTACTTCAACTAATTTTATAAATTTTTATCCCAAAAATATATTACATATACAAGTATGTACCAATTTATATTAATCGATTAATTAAAAAATCATATATAAATGCAATTTCTTCAATCTTGTTAATGTGAATTGTTTTGCAAAAATTTGATCAATTTGATATCGTTGAAATCGCAAAAATATTCATCGTACAAAATAATAAGATTAAATATCGTTATTGTTATTCTGAATAATAAAGTTTAATATACGTGTCATGCATAAAGAAAAGTGGAACGCGCTATAAAAGGGTTCGATGTAACCTCATTGTCCGTTAATATTACGCACTCGTTGCGTTTGCGATTCGAAAACTCGATATTCCTTATATTATGGAGTTTATGCAGGAACGAATAGCCTTGTGATTATTAGGAAGGATAATTGTTCAGTTTTGCGATCTACTTTCGAATTGGAACGCGAACGATTTTATTCCTGGATTAGAATGTCAAGGGAAAACCATGCAATATATGTGCAACGCAATGATAATTCGATAGAAGCTATATTTTTCTAATTTAATTTAATTTTGATAATTGTCTATTACTTTAGCTAATATTTCTTATCAAATTATAATGAAATTTCTTAATAGAAATATAAATTTATAATATTATCTATTCATTCTATCATTCTATTCAATTCTATTCAATTTTTCATATTATTCATCATTTATACATTATCGACAAATATTTTCATTCAATATTATAGTAATTTATAATGTTTGTCATTGATATTTATCAGTATATTCGTACGTGTTAATATACAAAAAAATATTTATATAAAATTTATTAAATATTATTTATAATTTAGAAAATGCTATGAAAAAAGACTATTTTACTTCAACTAATTTTATAAATTTTTATCCCAAAAATATATTACATATACAAGTATGTACCAATTTATATTAATCGATTAATTAAAAAATCATATATAAATGCAATTTCTTCAATCTTGTTAATGTGAATTGTTTTGCAAAAATTTGATCAATTTGATATCGTTGAAATCGCAAAAATATTCATCGTACAAAATAATAAGATTAAATATCGTTATTGTTATTCTGAATAATAAAGTTTAATATACGTGTCATGCATAAAGAAAAGTGGAACGCGCTATAAAAGGGTTCGATGTAACCTCATTGTCCGTTAATATTACGCACTCGTTGCGTTTGCGATTCGAAAACTCGATATTCCTTATATTATGGAGTTTATGCAGGAAACGAATAGCCTTGTGATTATTAGGAAGGATAATTGTTCAGTTTTGCGATCTACTTTCGAATTGGAACGCGAACGATTTTATTCCTGGATTAGAATGTCAAGGGAAAACCATGCAATATATGTGCAACGCAATGATAATTCGATAGAAGCTATATTTTTCTAATTTAATTTAATTTTGATAATTGTCTATTACTTTAGCTAATATTTCTTATCAAATTATAATGAAATTTCTTAATAGAAATATAAATTTATAATATTATCTATTCATTCTATCATTCTATTCAATTCTATTCAATTTTTCATATTATTCATCATTTATACATTATCGACAAATATTTTCATTCAATATTATAGTAATTTATAATGTATTTTTTTTTTTTTTTTTGATAAATATATTTTCATTATTTCATCAATGTGAAATTCTTTTATTCGAATTCTTTTATTCGTTTCTCTATTTAATTAGGAAGTTCTATAAATTCTTTTCTTATGTTTGCTATTATGATAATTTATAATGTTATAATAATAAAATTGTAGATCGATGATTAAATATACTTTTATAAATGATTAGGGAATCGTTGACGATTTTTTAAAATATTTAATCAAGAATAAATGGCAAAATATCGTGTTCCAAATAACGCAACATTTTTAATAATTTAATTTGTGCAATACGATTAGATTTCAAAATAACAGATGAGAATTTCTAAGCAAAATGTTTTAGAATCGTTCGAGGATTTGAAATTTATATTAAAATGATATTTTTACATAATATAAGTAAATAACGTAGGTATAAATAACCAAACTATCATGTAAATTATATTAGGTTGTGTCATTAGTGTCGGTGGATCAAGGTATACGTGTATAAGATTTCTAGATCATCAGGTTATATAAAAGTATCTATCGATTCAGTTGAATAACTGTGTTACATTTTGCAAAATAGAAAAGATGAAGAAAAAGTAGATGTTGCAAATATCTTCTGATAAATAGATTAAGAAAGCAAAATATATTTTATTTCGACATCAATACGATGTGATAAAAATAATATTTATAATTATCTTATAATTAGAATAATTCAATTAAAATTCTAATTCTTTTTTATAAGAATTTTAATATTTCGTAAAGTTAAACATTAAAAATTTTCATACTTCTCTTTCATATTAAAAAAATTTGTATTTTCTTGATATATTTTTTTAACGTATTTATATATGTATACAATTTATCAAAATAATTCTACGTGTTTTTCAAAAAATATATTTTGTTTCAAAAATTGTTTAACGAAGGATACAATTTTACTTAAAAATACAGCTGTTATTAAACATGACAATTCATTTTCATTTGAATAAAATATTACGACAGCGTAATATATTTATGTGATATCGTCTCGTTCAAATGATAATTAAAGTCATTTTTTAAATTACAAATATGTTATCTCTGCAATATATTAATTGTTTAAGTTACAAATCATTTAAATAATCGTTGCAACCTCTTGAATAAAAATTAAAATTTTCATTATATATTCTTTAATATATTTATTTGCCATACTTTCTAATTTTTTTTATAAAATAAATATGAAGCGAGCAAAAAAGCATATTATATTAATTATCTAGTTTGTATAAATACATGAATTACTTGATTACATATAAAAATAAATTTCATAATGATGTAAATGCGACAAAAAACATAAGAGGAAAAAAAAATTAAACCAGTTTGCTTCTGACAAAGTTTTTAAGTGTAATAACAAAATGTTACATATAAAAACTGATTCGCTTACTTACTTATGTCTAGAAAAAGTTTACCTTCGTTATAACAAGATCAATGAAAGACTACATCCCCATGTTAATACATTAGAAAATCACGCATAATCGAGCTTCTTTCTCTATTAATCGCTTAAAATCAAAATTAGTAAAATAAGAAAACAATTAGAAAAAAAAAAAAATTACAAATCTTTACTTTAATTCAATAATATGACCAAGGGCCACGCGTATCCGCACAATCTCAGATCGCAGGAAATCACGCATATCGAAGTAGCTATCAGTCAGTAAGAGGAACGAGGCGGCTTGTCGCGGGAGGGGATGCTTTCGAGGTACCTGTGCACCAGGGTAGGGGCAGCGTATAGCACGCAGAGTGCAGGAACGTTGTTGGGTGGTGTGGTGGTGGCGGTGGTGGTGGCGTGGACTCCGGGCGAAAGGGAAAATGGTCGATCACTTTTTTTTCTCCCCCATTTAGAGCCAGGTTTTTTGACACGGCGGTCGTTCGATCGACTTCCATTTGTCTCCGAGCTTTCCGCCGACTAACGTCCGCCGAGCACAACAACCCGGTGTGCAAATACATCTCTCGCGAAGATGCGTGCCGATCTTCGTTTCAATCTCGAATCTGATCCGAGTCGCACGTGCATAAAACCGTGAATACTATCGTCGTTGATCGTTCGATCTCGGTTGTTCGTTCTCAGTGATCATCGAGAAGACTCTTCCAGATCGAATGTGCAAAATATCGTAATAAATATAACGGATAGTTAATTTTTTTAACTCGTTTTTCGATATCGTTTAAAGCCGAGTTGGTAAACTGTACCAAAATAATAATAATAATAATAATAATAATATCGTGATCCTTGTGATTGAATAACCTGTGATACAACGCAAAAAAGGGAGGGTGTAGGAGAACCCGTGACAGGCCAGGTGAACTGAAATGAAACATTGGATCAGGCTGGTCTAAGAAGCCGCAAGGTGAGTGGGGCTCAAGTGCGACCGGAACAATTCAACTCTTTTGTCTCGGCATGGGAAAAGCATGAGTCGCTTATTGAAACTTTGCAAGGTCGTTCGTTTCAACTGAGGAAAAATAGATGAGCCTACTTAGATTACGTTTCTTTTTTTTCGTCACAGTCGGTTTCCAAGATCGTTATATACGCGTATGGAAACGATCTCGGTTGATGGATGATCGTCCTTAAACCAACTTGTGATATTGTTTAATACGCGCATTGGATCATTAAAAAAATACCTCGGTTCGTTTCGCTATTGAACATCGATACCTCGAAAAATGATTCGTATCAATCGCGTTTAAAGAAAAAATATTATATCATTGAGATGTTAAATTTATCATTTTCTCGAGATGGAGGCCACATAATGGAAAAACGCGATAAAAGTTGATAATTAGAAAAAATAAAAAAATGCTGGAAGTTCCGTGATCGTTAGAGGAACTGGCTGGAATTGCAGAGAATATTAACCGACCGGCCGCGGAATTAACTGACCGTTGCCTGTAACTTGGTAGTCCACTTTCACGCGCTCAAACTTCCAGATGTTCCTGGTGTTTCTTACGTAAAACTCGGTTACCTGAACTGTCTGTGCCGAAATGATATTTTTCCTGTGACGATGATCGGTGGACTGTTCCTCGAGCTCGTCACGCAGCTTTAAATTGAACAATAATGCTGAAAATTGAGCTCGAGATGAACGGTGCATGAGCAATGTGTTTTCCTTGTTTTCCTTGCATTCTCATTTTTTCTTTTCTTTTTTTTTAAATAAAATTGAAAGAAAACGTTAAGTTTAAAATGGAAATTATAGAAGAAGAAACTCGTATTGTTTGCTTTTATAATTTTCGATATTTTGTTGAAAACATCGTAATATTATACTTGATATAAGATATTGCTGTTTCAATAAGAATAATTCAATGGAAATAACGCAGTAATTTGTATTATGACTATAAAGATCAGAATATGGAAATCTTTAATAATTTTACAATATTTGCTATATGATATTCATTTTATTATTATTTTAAGGAAAGTGATCAAAAAGATTTCAAACTGGAAATTTTTCTTTCTTTCTTTTGTATTTCATTAAAAAAAATATCTCGATAATTTTGTTCGATCGACGAAATTTTACAACGATTTTCGCTTTCTATTGAATAAGTCTCTATGGAATATGCTTTACAATCGCGGGCAAAACCTGATACGTGCAATTGCATATACCGTTGTGCAGAATTTACTTTCGATTGGCGCGTAACAGATTCGTGCGCACGAACGATCGTGGAAAGGAATCAGAGTCTGGAGCACTGTTCTCTCGAGAATGTTTTTAACCCGAGTTCGTAATAAATTATGAACGAATCTTCTTTTTCTATGAATTCCATGAATTCATGATGAATTCTGTAAAACGTGCGATTTAATTGCACATAAAACTCGTCCGACCGGATTTAAATCTTCGATATAAAGAGTTTTATTTTATTAGAAATCTCATTGTAAATTTTTCTTTTTCCATATATTTCATCTTTCCATTCTTAATATTATTATTTTTAATTTTATTAGAAATTTTACCAAAACTTTTATTGCAATTACATTTCATCGAATTAATCCATCATTTTTAATTATTTAAACAAGAAATACTTTGATTATTCACATAGAAGCGAGAAAAATTATAAAGATTGAGTAACGAATATTAAAAAAAATTCACGATGAAAAATGAACAAGAAGTTGAATGAATTTCATTAATGAATCGTAACACAGCTGATTGCGAGTCTAACGGTATTTCGAGTACGGTCGATGATCCATGGTTGATCTTGATCTTCCTCCTCTCCTCGTTGATCTTCGCGCCAACAGAGGAAAGAGGATCGAAAGAGCTCACGATCTTCACGACTGGCCGCATATTTGAGACGACCTCGATAGATTTGCCGATAGATTCGTCAAATTCTAAACATCTTCTAAATTAGACATTGATGATTCTATCAATTGCATTACGTTAAAACTACGTATTCAATCTCTTTTAACATCATATTTAATCATCAATTTTTACTTCGATCTCAATAATTTTTCCGAATAAATAATATTAAAATAATAAATTGATGACAAGCATAAATAAAGTAGAAAGATTTAGTCTGATTTATTAATAACTTGATTAGAAAAGTTGAATAAATTAATAAATAAATCTAGTTAGTCTCCATATCTTGTGTAAATAATTAATAAAAAATCTGTGATGCAGAAGAGATTGAAAAATTTTTATTCAGCAAAAATTATTAGTAAAAGCTTTATTTGAGCGAAAAGATCTTCAGTCTTTCGCTATTATTTTCTAGAGAATCTCAAGAGAAATTTTTATTTCCGCCATTAAAGTTATTTCCTTTGGACAATCTTTTCCTCATGAATATTTTCTTATCCCCAACTAAATCAAGAAAAATATCCTTCAAATATTCCTATTTCAAACTTTTTAATGAAGCAAGATTTCTCCATGAAAATTTCATGATTGAAGATGTACATCTTTTTATCGAGAAAAAATAATATTTCTCAATACAATTAGAAAGATGTTGCGAATGATTCGAATATAAAAATTCAAAGAAGAACATCTTATAAAGAAGAGAATAATGAGATTATTTCTGGAAATTGATACAGTTTTTATAAAATCTATATGGAAAGCGATTCAGGTTTCCATTAAATATACAGGGTGGGGTAATAAGAGCTATGTGCATGAAACGAGCCTTGGCCTCCTTCTGAGATGTTATTTTTTCTTTTTTTTTTTTTTCAAATATAATGAAATCATTTGCAATATCAATTCAATTAAACAGATCAACGAAATGTTTACATTTACAGGGAATGTAAACTTATTTGCAAATACTCTCGTTCTCGAGTAAAAATATCTTTTTATCAGATTCCTCTACATTTCACTTTCATATCGATCATACTTTCATATTATCAATTATAATAGCTGTGTATGAAAGTATGATAGTAATGAAGATGAAATATAATAAAATGATAAAATGGCGTACTATATACTTTTCTCAACCGTTTTGTGTAAACGCGAATTGATTGAAGTTTAATTAACATTTTCTCAGAATATAAGGGAATAATGATCGATCTCGGTATTATTAAATGACAGGGTGTCAACTGATGTTATTTTTAATGGAATAAATAGGGAGACGAAGGCGTTGTGGCACAACATAGCGAGATAAAAATAAGGGTCCGATCGATCTTTTTGATACAGAAACAAAGTGGATAATTGGGTATTCATCCTTGACGATGTAAAAATAATCGGATCCGAGACAAAGACACGTCGGATATAACTTAATATCAGAGGTAATTTTGAGGAAGTATATCTTTTTTGGAATCGATACGCGAAAATTGGAAAACACGTTTAATTGTGCTTAAACGTATGATCTCATAGGTTCTCGGTCATGTTATGGTATAGTTGTTGAGAATTATACGCGCCGGTTAACAGACTGAGGATAATACGAGTAAAAGTAGATTTAAATGGAGAAGGTGGTTCTTGACTTTCACACATGCATGCATTAAGTAGTCTTACGTACAGGGTGATCTGAAAAAAGTGGAAGAAGATGATGAAATGTTTAGGATTATTAAATTTCGATCGAAAAATTGTTAATTTTTCTATTTTCCATGGTGTTGTTTGGAAAATTTTTACTTGATATTTTGTTTTGTAAAAAATACTTATCATTTTCTTTTGAATATTGAATGTTAGCCAGAATATAGCACAATCTCATTATAATTTATATTTATATTTAAATTCGTTTAAATGGGAGAAAATGGACATTCTAAAGGCATAAACTATTTGAAAGAAATCGTAAATGAAAAAGCAGAAAGCAGAAAGTAGTTAACATAAAAAACCATTGAAACAAATGATGCATTGGTACATTGGAACAATTCTCATTGAAGATATACTTATTGCCTTAAAATTTTTCTCAAAAATTTCATTACCGTTGTTCTTTCAAAATGATCAAATATTTAAAAGGAATGAAAATAATTTGAAAAAACAACTCTTCTTCTATTTCTTTTTGCTTTCTTTTGATGTTACTTAATATATTATTTTTTTTTATTGCAGAATGGTGGGGAGATTTTCGTGGTGCACGACGGTGGCATTGGTGGTGCTGCTGCTTTTCGTCACAACCGAAGGTCTTCGTGAACGCAGTACTCAGGTAAGTGAACAATTATTTTGAAAGGGTCTAATTATTTCTGAAAGATTTCATTTAGATGGGAGCAAAAAATTAATGATATTTCAACACACGATCAATATTTTTGGTTACATTCATTCTATACTTTCATTCTTATTATAATATTATTTTCCCATTGAAATATATGAAATCGTTACACGCTTATTACATAATAATAATAATCTGTTAAAATTTCATTATAGGTAATTACATTGTAAGACAAACGTGAAAGCAAGATTTCACAATAAAATTATATTTTTTTATCGAATGTATTCACGAAAGTTTTAACTATTTCGTAGTTGTTAAACAGAGATTAATCACTTTGTGAAACTTAAAATTATTTTAAAATTTCACGGTTTAATTGAGATATAACTTTTAACGCAACTTTTTAAACGTTTCGACATTGATTCGATAGACAGAGGCGCACTTTGAATGTAGTTTTAAGTGGTTAAGTAAGTTCATTTATTAAATTGCACCATCGTTCAATGAGACGTACTCACAAAATGGAGTCATTCATTATTCCTTCTATCGAAATTACAAAACATGTTTATTACAATATTCGTTATAATATACAATATCATATACAATATTTTTTCCTTTTATTTTGATTAAAAAATTCAAGTTATATTATACTTATTAAAAAAAAAAAAAAATTACTTCGATCGAATTACATATTTTATTATTGTATCTTAGTATTTTCCAATCAATCGCGATTTTTCCCTTCAAAACCAAGAGCCCAAGAGTGTCTCAATTCCGTGTCAAGGATACCGTGTTGCGGGCGTACAATGTTTGGTACGATGGCGGTGTTAATTCATTTTTTTCTTCTTTCATTGTCCACGAAGGCTATCGCGCCGCTGGAACGGATTAATTCTTATAATTTGAATAACGTCTCGTAATCGAATCTTGTAAACACACGGACAATTAACGATCGAGGAAGCGAGTTATTTGTAAAAAAAAAAAATCCTCTATTACGACGACCATTTTCGTTTCAAAAAGGAAATCCTTACCGAGAATGTTTCCTTTCTTACCGTCGTTAAGTCGCATCTTCATCTATCTTCTTGTTGATCTTGAAAGCGAATCTCGTGTAAAATGTCGACCTAATCGATGTCACGCGATTTAGCAAGGATATCGTTACGAAGAAATCGTGAAAATCGTGGTCGGAAAAATCGCAAGGTGTTGGTAAATCGCGATAGGAAGTTGGTAGTTTTCACTGTAACGCTCGTGTTTGGCGCTACTGAACTTTCGTGCGCGGCTGGTAAACTGTTATTTAGAAATTAGTCGAACGTAAAAAATGATCGAACGGGATCGAGAAGAGATAGAGACGAGAGAATTGTAAAGGGAAAAGAAGTTAATTATATTAGTTAAAGAGATAGGAACGTGACGTTCGTTTCTCGATAGAAAGCGACTTGAATAGACGAATTTACTTTCCATAAAATTAGTGTTAATGGAGATCGAGTTTATTTTTCTTCCATTTCGCCGAGGGAGAAAAAAATATCGACTTGTTCATATATTTCGCGAAAGATTTTTGTGTTTAATTTGTTTAATTTTATTGAATTATTGAATTTCGAAAATTACTTTTTCCGGACAAAGCGTCTTGATATATTTTTCTGATTAAACGATTTGGAAATTATTTTGGACTATTTCATTTATTTATCAGAAAATTACATAATATGAGGAAAGTAAGAGGAATAGTAACATTTCGAAATGTCAGCAAACTTCACGTTTTTATTGTAATAGTTATGTCAGATCTATTTAATGGAAATTTAATTCGAAGTATGTATACGAAGCGTAGGAGGCAACGTGGAAAGTAATAATCCTTTGACTTAAGAAATAGTTATGATACTTGTTTAGAAATTACACTTAAGTGCATAACTTTCCTTTCTGAAAATTCATATATGATAGATAGATGAAAATTAAAATTCTATTCTTAATTTCTTATTATTATAAAGTTGTAATATATTTTTTTATTATATTCTCATTTTTTATTCTCTTGTTAAAAGATCCTTTATATTTATATTTTTTATATAACGAGAATTTAAACTTTTTCTTATTTTAATGTCAATTGGACATGTATATTAAAAATGATAAACGTTATAAAATGAAGATTTATATCTTCTAATCCTTGAACCGATTTCTCGATCGCGTTATACGCGATGTAATCATGGCAAACGAGGATCATCTTGAACGTTCTTTGATTCCTTCACCGCAAAGGTTATCGAAACGTGTTTTTCGATTAAAAAAATAACCGCCACGAATCCTTTCATCGTTCATGTAGCTCATAAATATCTAACCACCTGTCGAAGATTGGAAAGTTTTAATAATGATTCAACATTTGCTAGGTCACTTGTAGAGGAAAGAGAAAAGGGAAGTGTATCCATTCATTCATTTTTATTTGCCAGAATTTAATTTGACCAAAGTTTCATCAGATCTTATATCTTTTTCCAATAGATAATCACTAGAAATACTTTAAATTCTAAATAATGAATTTCAATTATTTTAGTTACTCCATAAATTGATTATCTCGAATTTCTCATTATAATACTATTAAATCATCACATTCTCTTTAGGATTAAAATCTCTTAAGACTCGAACATTACAAGATTCGATTCTTTTAACCATCGAAATATTGAAGTATAGTATAGTATAGTATAGTATATGAGTATGAAACTTTTTAAGAACAACAAGTAATTATGTACAATAAATATGGAAAATAACTAATCAGATTTCTTTTAGAAAATTTCTTCCAAACAAAACATTCTCGAATCTCACAATCATTTGTTCTTAAATTCAAATATTTTTAATCAAAAGAAATAAATCTTACGATCATTAATCTATTCCCACAAAATGAATTTTTTCTATCACGTTATATTAAACTTACTCGATGCGTATCGAACTTAATCCTAACCTTACATCACCGGCATAAACAAATCCATCGATCAAAATCTTCTCTAATCCAACAATACTTCATCCTCTAATTCTCTTTCGTAATTATTTCCAAGGAATTCTCGAAACATCGGTGAAATATTTTTCTTGTTAACTTGTCTCCCGTATTATTATTTCGTTCCATTATTAGAGCGAGTTTGCAACGAAATTTTCACCGAAAATCGTATGAACACAACAGTGTATTGTATTACGTGCTCGAATTCCGTGGTTGAAGCGGCTCGATAGCGGAGAGATACAGAACAGAAATGGATACAGAGGAAAAGAAAGGAAGAAAAGAGAGGTGCAGGTTCGTGTGGACCACGCCTAGTCGTGCGCTGGTCTCTCGGTTGCGAATAATACAACGGGTGGTCGTAAATTGCTGACTGTTTTCACGTGACGAATGGTAGATAGGTGTTTGCACAGTCTGCTGGATTGCTATAAGGTTGATAGGATAGGATTCCAACCGGACACGATTATGCGTGTTATGGAATGGTAGTTTTATTGTTATTGAAGTGGATAGAAAATATGATTGGAATGGAGTTTTGTATTTGTTTAGTCTCGATAGATCTCTCGATTCATTAGATTAATTCAATTAGGGATAATTAATAAGGATTAGAACGAGGGTAAATGATAATGATTTGAGAGGGTTGATTGATCGAGAATTATTTTTTGTAAGTAGATATTTTCGAATGTGAAAATTGGCAGTGGTATTCATTTCGAAATGATTCTCGAGAATTTTTCTCTTAATTGTATGCATCTTAGAACAAGATATCTAGAAATAAGGATGCGAATATATTTGAGAATAAAACTCTTAAAAGTTGCTCTCGAGAATTCGTTAAATTATTTTTCGCTGATGAATATGAGAGTGAATGTTATCGTTGATTAATCCATTTGTATATCTATTTTTATGATTCTTTTTTTGATATTGAAATCTCTTTATGATTTTCAATTTTTTGAAGAATGAAGAATTTTTTTCAAAATAGGCCAATTCCTTATAATCTCGTAATTTCATATCTATTGTGATGAGGTATATTATTTTATATTCAATTTTCATGAAAATTATGGAAAAATAATTAATACAATTATTATAAGTCATAAATCCAAAATATTTTTGCATTGGATTCTTATATCACAATAATAATCATTTCACATTTGTAAAATAAATATAATCGATATTTTCATAGAATAATTAGTTCGGTATAAATGTTATTATAAATATACAAGTATATATTACGGAGAGGTATATCTACATTCTTAGAACTAATAACTTTTAAATTATTTCTTATCGATTATTGCCTTATCATTTTAACACTCCAAAGAAAAAAGTAAAAAGATATCTGATAGTTTTAGATTATTTATATTTTATTAAATCTTTCGATTTATTTGTAGATATGTCTTCAAATACATTTATACTATTTATAAACAGAAATTTGATCAATTAAAAATATATTTATCCCCCAATTTTTGATAAAAAATTAATCTTACGTTCATTCTGCTATTTCTTTTTTAAAAAATTCATAAATTTTAAAGATAAATAAATTCTATTTCGTTTACCCGTTATACAAAGCGCTCAAATATCAATCTGTTTAATAAATTTTATACGTTGCAGAGAGCACGCATTTTGCAGGATTATCTGTTCTAAATTTCGATACGATATCACGTGTATTACCTTAGTCCTTTTAATGCGATTAATCACACGTTAATTATCTTAGATTAATTAATTCGATTCGAATTGCGATACATGGTATTCCGTGTTCGATAATTAAATGTTTTCAATTTGCGAGGAATTTCATGGATTTATGGAAAAAGATACGTGATTATGCAAATATTTTAACATTTGAACTCTATTTCAAAAATTTTTATTACACACGTTTGGCATTTAGAAGTTTGTTGAACAAATGCACGATATTTCGAACACGAATGCAATCGGCTGAAAATAACTCTTGAGTGACCGACTTTCATAGTGATAAAAAGCACTTATTCCTAGAGGCGAATAGTAATGTTTCATTAATGGTAAAAAATGGATCATCATAACTTAGTTAGTAACTCTGTTACCAAGATTT